AAAAAAAAAGCAAAAAAAGTAGTGAAATAGTGAATTTATCAATTTATTAGTTTGACTATAACTTTTTATCATTGACGGTTAACTTTAATAGAAAAAATAATGGTGACACTTTAATTCAAATCATAAGGGGATATGTGTAGGTTTTTAAACCATAGGAGGGTTATATGATAAAGTACCAAAACCAGTGAATGAGTTGATGATTCCAAAAGTAAATGTTGCAATCTCTACTATTTCAACGGAGAGATATGGGATCTACATGTTAATCTGCTTGGTTGTAAACTTGTTATAACTATGACTCTTGCCTAAATGATGAAAGAATTCAATATTGCATTATTACTTGGGTTGAATTACAGATTGCTCCCAAAATGTGGAACTTGTGCTTTGCCCCCATTAATCCAAATAATATACACTTTACATGGAGAAAATAATTCCATTTTGATTGTCAAAAATTTTGGATAATCCATCCCTTCAAATAGTCTCAACATCTTTTCCTTGCGACACTATTATGACATTTTTATTTTATTAATCCTTTCATTGATTTTTAATTGTTTTTAGTCATCAACTTTTTCCTTCCTTTATACTGCAAGTTTTTATTTTTTTTTAATATTATTGGTTTCTCATCAATTTTTTTGTTTCATTTATACTATGATTAATTTGCATCTTATCAAATTATTATTTAGATATTAAATTTTTTAGTCATAAAAATTTGTTCTTCCATTCAATACTTCTTTATTTAGATATTAAGTTTTCAATTTTTATTAACTTTTGTTCCCTTTATACTATGAGATTCCTTAAATTTTTTGAATTTTATTTACATACTGAAATTCTCTCATCTCTTTCAAATGTGATTATTTGTACTAATTGTGATTTATGTTTACATATTGATTGTTTCTTGTATCAAAATATTTTTCTTTTCTTTATGCTATATTTTTTATTTTTTCCATTTCTTTATTTATATGAAGTTTTTCACTCATCAATTTTTCCTTCCTTTTATACTATAAGTCTTTTTATTTTCATGATTTATTTTCTTATTTTATTTATCTATATGCCTTCTGTTCCTCATGCACACCACAAAAAACCAAAAAAAGGGCAGCTTTGCAACAAGTCACAGGGATATAATGTTGTCAATTTTAGTGCAGATTTGATGAAGAGATCCGTTCATTTGGATGAAGATTTTGGTGCAAATCTGACGAAAAAATCTAGGTTCCGTTAGAATTGGCCTATTTTTCAAAAATTAGTTTTTGAAATACAATGACACAATAATATACAAACAAAAATAACTCAAAAAACATCTCATCTATGTAATGTTCAAAAACAACTCACAAATATATACAAAAAATAAAAAATAATAAATTCTACAATATTTTTCACCTATCACCACCACGACCCCCATCCACTTCCGCCAGCACCCCTTCTCTCCTCATTTTTCCTCCCCCCGTCTCTTCTTCCTCCTCCCTCTTTCTCTTCCCTCTTCATCCCTCCCTCCCCTTTGCCCCTATCCCCTAGCCCTCCCCTCCCCCAGTTGATCTAATCGAGGAAGAGGGAGGAGGAGGAAGAGGAGGAAGAGGGAGGGGGAGGAGAAGGAGGAGGGAGAGGGGTGGTGGCGGTGGTAGTTGTAAGTGATAGTTTTAATTTTTAAAAAGTACACTAAAAATATTTTTATTTTAAAAGGAACCCTAAAATATATTCCAAAATATTACAAAAAATATCTATAGTAAAAATTTTTCGTATACACTGCTATAGTAAAATATTTCAAAAACATCCCCAAAAATAGTTAATTCAAACGGCGCCCTGTTCATTTGGACAAAGTCTATGGGAAAAAAGGAGGTGGTGGTGAAGGGATAGAGTGGCTGGGGCGGAGAGGGAGGGTAGATGAGATCTTCTGATCTTCTATACAAAAAAAAAAAAGAAAAAGAAAGGAAAGAGCGAAGTTTAGAGGTTGGAGAAGATGAGCGACATCTTGAGGTTGGGGAAGATGAGAATTTTTTTAAAATTTTAATTTAGCCCCTCAATTTGCTGTTGCACTAAATTGAAATAAGAAAGTTTTTAAATTTCATCTGAGGCCGACACTAACTATTGATATAATTTGCAAATAAGGTTAATATATGAATTTTACATTTTTTTGTCCATTTGGATGATTTCCATCCACATTCCACATCAGTCCAATGCACAAGGAATGTTTTTGGGTGTTTCTGAACGATAAGGGGTTCCATGACTGTTAATCAAACCACAAGGGTTTTTTTTATATATATATTCTACTCTATTTAATTGAGTGATTAATTTTAAATAAACAAAAAAAATGACACACCTCATTAAGAATTGTTATTCATAGTGAAAACTAATAAATACATGTATTAAAACCAAACTTGAGACAAACTTGCAAAAGAGAAGAAGTGTATGAGAAATTAGTAGCACGAATAAATGGAATAAAAATAAAAAAGAAGAAAAAGAAGTTTAAATAGCTTTTTCATTTGTTTATTGTTATTAGAATTCCACGTTTAACACAATTTTGATATAATTTGCATATTATTTCATCATAAAACACTCAATTTTGTTATTTAAAACTTGTGGGACCACAATGGTATAAACTCCAAATGTCAGGGAACTAAAATACAAAATCAAAACTATTGATTGACGGAAATTGACTTTGACCATCGCTACATTTTCGTCGTCATAATGTGCTTAAAATTAGAAACTTTGGGGGCTAAATCTATTTTGATCTAAACAGCAGACACTAATTTGACATATACAGGCCAAACATTAAGAATTAAAACTGAACATTCGTCCCAAAAAAGGAAAAAATTCTTAAAAACATACCTGAAGCTTTTCCAGAACATCCCGGTATTCGGCTAGATAATACAGAGCCCACATTATTGACAGGGAAGTTGATTCATAGCCAGCTACAACAAAGTTTACAAATGTTATGCAGCATCTCTAGATCACTCAATTGATTGCCTCCTCGTCATTCAGGAGCATTAGACCATCCAGTAACACTCGTTTTCAACATTTGTCTCGGCCAACTGATTTTTACGCATATATCCATTTCCTTCTTGAAAATCCAATTTAATCACAAATATATTCTTTCACGTTATTTCAATTAATATCTCCTATTTTCATGTTGCCATGTAGCTAAAGGGGTTAATTACACACTTAAATTTCGAGTTTATGCAAATTTTAGTACAGTATTTCTTAATTCGATGTATCCAGTTTTGTCTGAAAACAAATAATTCATTATTTGTTGAGAATCATACTCCTTTTCGAGGATATCTGGAAAGACAGTAGAGGTTCAATTTTCACACAAAAAAGGGCCTAAATGCATTTTTAAAAAAAATGAAGGATTGGGGACTAAACAGTGAAATCCCTATAACTTAAATTACCCAAAAAAGAAAAAAGAAAAGAACTTTGACATGGAACTTCAAGAATTTAATTGTGCAGAACATGAAGGATTAAATTGTAGCTTTCCGTTTCGTCTGACCCGTCTTTAGCGTTTCTGAATTTTGATAAAAAGAAATAAGATCAAAATAGCTGACCACAAAATCAAAATCCATAATTATAGTAGGATGCAGGCAGGCCTGGAGGGCATGGCGATAAGCAGTCCCCGGAAAATTGAGCGGAAAATTTTTTATTTCTTTGAGAATACCATTAAACAGCTGATCAAGAACATCCAAATGGGGACTTGGCTCAAACCCCGCAAGATACTTGCCCATGTTGTCAAAGATGATATAACACAACAAAATAATAAGCCTAGTTTTGATTGCTTCAAAACTTAATTCAATTTCTACATCCAAATGGGGAAATGATATTGTTTTTTAAATCTTTTTTTTAAAAATAAAATGGTCATCTAAATCGTCCCATAATTTTGGAATTGAATTAATTGTACAAGTCCCATAATTTAAACAAAATCAGTACGTGTATATACCTTAATTAGGCTCATCAATGTGGTTGCGTCTAGCATTTGTGTTTGATGTTTTATGTGTTTTTAAGTGGAAAGAAAGAGCAAATTAATCTTACTTTTCTTTTTTAGCATTAATGCAGTCATCCGGGCGTCGAAGAACCTTGAAGTAATATAGAAAATGGAGCATTTTCCCAATAAATGGAAGCCCCATATGACCAGGAGGAAGCTTGATGCCACGGGCGGAACATCAGATAGTTGCTGGAAGAGCGTAACGGATGTAATTCCACCACCACAACTAGAATCCCTACCGCTGTTATCAACGACTCTCCCCGTCACTTCCAGTTCCATATATTCATGCAATTGGATTATTTTCCTTTGCTTTTTAGCATACTTGCAGCTATAAATATATAGTGATAAATTTTGCACATGATTAAAATATGGACTTAGGAGCCTCTGTTTCAAATTTCATGGCACATTATGCTACACAACTTCTTAAAGGGGGCAAGTGTCCTGGCCACTAACAGAGATATTATAAAATTTGAATTCTTATCCATTATTACAAGAGACACATGTTAGTAGAATTAATAGTATAATGAAAGCTTAATAGGAAAAGTTGTTTCAGAAGATCTTTTAATAGAAAAAATGATGCTGAGGAGATTGTGATTTTGTCACAGTATTTCTCTTTATGTCACCAAGAAATATAATATAGCCGTCTAAATTTTGTTACATGTATAAGTACACAGCATTCAGGTTTCACTTTCGGATCCATTACTTAAAGCAACTTGGTGCCCACATGTCCTCAAACTCTTGTTGTCTAGACACTTGTACCAATAATTTTCTAAGTAAACATTTACTTTGGACAATCAACTTAACAAACTTATTACATAGATATACCATATATTAGATGAATAAGTTTCAAACTTGTTGCAAGTAGTTATTACACTATGATTTTGCTAGATCAACAGAAAATGTAACCCCAAAAAAAAAAAGAAAGAAGAAGAAAAGGGCCTGCAAACGTGATGACTACTTAAGAGTGACTGATTAAGGCTGAAAACTCCAAACAAGATCAAGAGGCACAAAATAGAACAGCGGGCTTCTTTTTCTATTAGATTCTGCTTATGTTAATCTCAACCCCATCAATTGGTCCTGGATGCGGGAGATAACTCATTTCTGCATCAGCATTAACTAGTTCCCACCTGAATATTTGTTTATCAGTATGGCATAAGCAAACAAAGTTACACTATTGTGAGACTTTATTTGCTTAATAAATAATAATTTCTGGATTTTGAATTTATGCTTTTCTCTTTCTCCTTTGGAAAGAAAAAAAAGTTGGTGTTCTCAAGAAAAAAAAAAGATTAATCTTTCCTACAACTTTAGTGTGTATACTAATGGGTTTAGATGCATATTATATTATCTCAGTTTAAATTTAACTACTAAATTTTGTATATGTAGTATGCATCTAAATTCACTAATGTATATATGTGACAGCCTCACCTTCCCGAACCAAAGGGTTCGGCGGACCGCCTGTCCAGCTCTCGCCAGGATTCAATCACTCATTACAGTCCTCAAATAAATTACAAAGTAAATCTCAAATATACATCCAATTCTCCATGAATATACATATCAAAACGAAGCGAAAACTAATTCCCAAGCGTGGAACGTACACATACATCCGATTCAAATCCAAACATCCATACAAACCCAAAAATTACACAAGATAAATCTAAAATCAAATTGTACAAGAGAAATCCATCCAGCCACACGAAGAACTTAATACAGGTACTTCTTTTGCCTCGATCCCTGTGGGGAGAAGAAAACAATTGGGGGTGAGCCAGAAGCTCAGCGAGTGACCAGTAAAATCAATAATCAAATAAGCTTTACAATAGTGCATTTAAATGATATCAAGAATCAGTGATCAAATGTGCGTATATTGCTCTTTTGAGCCAGTGAAATCCTTGTACTTAAATATCCAACGCTCCATTAGATCAGGTAACAGATAAACAGAAATAAGGAGCCATTGTGCTCCAAAGAATGCGTAAACAGTAGTGAAGACGTTGGTTCTAAGCACAAGATTTCCCAAGAACTCATCGGAGCCAAAATGTCATGGCACACACACAAACACAAATGATATGCAATCGAGTAACCAATGCAAGAATTAGTTCAAAAGTAACTTTGGAAATAGTTGAGGGATCACTCACCAACCACGGCTCACGAACCTTATCCATCATACATCATTGCCTTGCTCAAGTCGAAACCCTAGATTACAAATATCAGGTCAAGCAAAGGAATTCTAACATTATCAAGCTTCTATCACCTTTTGGCACTTTAATCACAATTGAAGCTACACTTATCGGATTGAAACGAATCTTACGGTGTTACGAAGCTAAGACATACACTAACATTTCTTATGAAGACTTCAAAGCCAAATCATACATATTCATGGTCAAAAACCGAAACCTTAGAGAAAAATGGAAACTGGCCGCGAAACAGGGCTTAAGGGCAGTCAAGGGTATTTCAGTCATTTCACAGGCTACAGTACTCCAATCGATCTGAAATTTTACAGGTAGATAGCTAACTCATATACCTACAACTTTCTAGAAGAACCATTGTAAGATTCAGAACACAATTCAGTCAAATTTGAGCCTCAAGTTGCTGCTTTATCCAGTAAAAGACAGAACAGGTATGTAATTTCAGTCAACTTTGGAAAATCACCATAAATCACACAGACAGAACCAGGGTCTGAAATTTTCATGGTTTATATTTCTATGAATCTAGTTTCAAACACAACAAACAGAACTCGATTCCGACATTTCTATATCAAATTATAGCAGATTTCCCGAGACTGCACAGAAGTTCCTACGAAAATTTTGACAGCACCTCCCTTTGTTTTTCTTTACTTATCCATCCAAACCTCAACACCAATCACTTCTCAATTCCACTACAATTGCATCCACAAATCACAAGCTATCAAATACCTTTAATTAGGGCTACAATACCCTTCAATTAGAACCAAGTAATAGCTCAAAATAAAAACCCTAAAGCTGGAATTTAGACACCTAAGCTGGAAATTTCTTGTAGGTGAATGAAACTAACACATATAAGCTCAATATTACACACAACAAAACTAACAATCCATGGTAAATACTTAAACATCAAATAAGGGCAGAAAAATCACCAAAAATCTGAAATTTCCCATAACACCACTTCCTTCATGAAATTTTTCCATAAAACTACACAACTCACAACTCTAAACCACCACTTAACAATTAATTAGAGTAAAGAGGAAGTTCTTGATAAAATACCTTAAAACCCCAAGAAGAGTAATAGCTTAGTACTTCCCTTTTCAAAACAACTCCACAAAACCCCTCAAGCTTCCTTAAAGATCCACTTTTATGGACTAATTTACAAAACTAATGGTTGAAACTCAAGATTGAAACATAGAATTGAAGTGCAAGATGAAGCTCTTTTTCTCTCTCTCATGAAGCTCGCCCAAGGAAGGTGAAGAAATGAAGATATTTTAGCCAAAAAGGAAGTTAAGAATGAAAGAAAATAGCCGGTCAAAGTTGGCTGCCGGACTGCCACGTTACAATCCGGCCAAAATCTGGCCGGATTCAAGATAGAAGCTAAACAAATTTTTTTCAAACGAGCCAACCAATCCGGCCAAGTATCCAGCCAGAAACTGGCTGGATATGTGACCGGATTCAACAAAAAGCACTGTTCACAGAAATTTTTTCCTTTTCTTCTTCTTTCGAGCGTCACAATATATCATCAGTGAATAAAATATGTGACTCCAAAAAAAAAGGTATAGTGGCACTTAGAAATTTCACCTGTATCTTACAACTAGATGGTGGATAAAAATAGCAACCTGCATTCGAGCAAGCATATTTCCTGGACAAATCTTTAAACCCCCACCGAAGACCATGAATGTCCCAGGCTTTGGTTGTTCCTGATTAAGGAAATATCTAACAGTTGATCAATGTATAACCCAAAATTTGTCTTCTCAATACATGTGCAAATAATATTTGTGCTTACGTTCCATCTATCTGGATTGAAACACAATGGATCTTCAAAATTTTTTGGATCTGTATGAATGTATCGTAACCAGCAGATTACTTTCCATCCTTTAGGTATTTTGTATCCTGTGAGAATGAGTTTCAACAGTTTTTAAGCAGAGGAAGACAAGTTGTATCCTCTTACATGCGCATCCTAAGTGCTTCTACAGAAAAGTTTACAGCTCTACTTATTTACTTTCTTTGATGATCTAAATACTAAAAGAAATGGATTACTTTTACCTTTGTACTCAACATCCCTCTTAGCTTTCCTGAAAACAAATGCTGATACATTGGCTAATCTTATTGTTTCTTCCACATCCTGCTTGTAAATATGATTAAATTAAGACAATCAAGCAATAATAGACAAGAAAATGCATAGTAATACGTACAGTAACTATCTGCCTATGAATGCTTAGCCACATAATTCTTTATGTGGTATCAAACACAAATAAAGTACCATGTCAAATAACTGATGGTATTTATAACTTTTGACTATATGATAAAGGGATAAGTTGGATCTATGAAATACGTTCCCATAAAACAAGATGCATCATCGCCACCATTTGCATCCTCCACAAATGATGAGATTTTCAAAAAGGCACACGACTACTATTTTAATGTAAATGTTTTTTCTTTCTTTTTTCTATTTGGTGTTCTTAAGGAACTAGATAAGCACAAAAAAAAAAAGAAGGTTGGGGCCAATATTAAACCTTTACAATTACCAATCATTCTCTCAATTGCAACACTTTTCAACAAAATTTACTCTTCTACATTTTTTAAAAAATAGACCTACTTCTTATTTAATTACCTTAGGACACCAAATAGACGAACCTTTAACAAACTAATAATAGTATTAGCATTTCCTAACTAATCTCCGTATAATCTTGGTGCACATATACCTTGTTTGTGTACTGCAATTTCAGAATGTCATCACGTCTTATGAAATCGCCATTTGTACCAACATTCATGTGCTCCTCCTACAATTCATTCGATTTAGAGTCATGAAAAAGGAAACATATATAAATGTAATCAAGAACAAGTAAAGAAGTTTATCTTTGGTTGTCATCTAGATAGTGCTTGGAAGTTACTTATACCTGTAGCTTTTTGAGTATATTGGGGTGCTTGGCGAGATAATACAAAATCCACATAATTGAAGTGAAGTAAATTCGTAGCCAGCAATTATTAGGCCTACAATGTTATCAAGCACCTCTTCATCTTGTAATTGATTACCATCGTCATCTTTTAGGTTCAAGAATTGGTCCAACAAATCAAACTCAGCTCTTGCAGCATTGCCTTCAAACTTTCTCTTATTTATCTCCTTGGTAAAAATTGTCACGACTTTCTTCCGACACTGTGGAATGACAAATTTGTGATTAGTGATTGGAATTTAAGTCTAGCTCATACAAGAATTGGAACTTTAGAAATTAACAACCTCCCTTAAAGGGAATTCACTCATTTTTCTACTATTTTAGCTTAAGAGTGAGCTTGCTAGCCTGGAGGGCATGATGATAAGCAGTCCCTGGAATTTTAATTGGTTGACTTCTAACTCCTTTGATCATACCCGTAAATAGCTGATCAAGTGTATCCAAATGGGGTCCTGGCTCAAACCCGGAAAAGTACTTCCCAATATTTTCAAAAGTAACCTTCAAGGACAATGAAAAAATAATGAAAAATAAGGAAAATGATGGCCTAAAGAGATTTCATGAAAGTTGAAATTAGTGTGATAACTTACTGACAGGTGTCGAACCTGTGCAATAATAATAAATAAAACCTAACTACCACTTGAAGTAGCCAATAATCAATTCTAGTACTGGAGCAGGGACCCTAGATGTGCAATGGGTTACTTGATTCACCTTGTTCCCGAAGAGTTTGTTTAATCCGATATACCAGAATTAATTATTTAACTGAATTCACTAACTAGTAGACAGTGGCAAACAGGGTCGTCTCCTCAGGGACTGGGGAGAAATTTGTTTCCTTTCGAGTCAAGACAAATAGGGGTTTTCAGGATTAAATGCTAACTAAATGAATTAAATGCAGAAAATAATTAATTAAAAGAAATAATTAGGAGAGCTCTTGCCAAGGGTACACTTCATAAATGGTTCATGCACTGATCATCGATTCACAAATAATTCCAACATTTATTAATAGATTAGTTATAGTTGTCATGCACGTGATAAACAACCAACCTTTTCTTAATTTCTCGATAGTTAAGGTACGACCGTTAACTATTTCTCTAATTCGGAAACAACCCTAGGTACGACCATAGGATTTAATTTCTAGATTGTATTAATAATTAGAAAGGCCCAATCCTAACTAACAAACACGCTACGAGGGTTTGTTTAAGTTAGATCATATGTTTCCCTGACATAAACCCAATCACGCCAGTTGCTACTGAGATGGAGATAATCGAACAATTACGGATTCAATTACCCCTAATTAGCAAAATAGCCTATATGAATAATTAATTATTGCGCACTAATCAATCATACATAAGAGCTATAACAATTAAAAGCAGGAAACATATAAATACCAATAGATGAAAGAAACAATTAAAAACGGTTTAGATCTCACAGTAATTGCCGAACTACATCGTCAGTTGTCCTCTTGACTAGAAAATGAAAATTTAGCTACATATCCTCAAGGGAAATCCGCAGGACTCCCTTGCTAACCATCTGTTCCTTCTCCCCCAAAGGCTAACGAAAGAAGACAAAGAAAAACAACCCCCCCCCCGCCGTCCCTCTCAATTCCTCTTTTGTAGCTTCCTAAGGAAAACTAAACTCCTGATTACGCGGGATCCGGCTTTTTCTCCCTCAAATCCGTGCAAAGGAAATCAAAAGACAAGAAATTGCTGCTTCCTTTTTCGTCTCTAGCCACCCAGATGCTCAATTGATTGCCGCCGAATTTGCCTCCACCTAATTACCTAATTGATTGGTTTCCTAATACCAATCCAACTCTTAAAAAGATTCCTATTACAAATCAATTTCCTCCACCTTTCCTTTTCCTTGAGAATGATCCCCCGAAATAAGGAAAGTCCTGGCAGCTAACAAATTAGGAAGTTGACTCGGATTGGGAGACTGTCTAATATCAATCCCGACCTTCTGGCCTTGAATGTAGATCCCAAACGTACCACCATCAAATTAATTGGAAAATTATCATTTTTAATCACATTTTACTCCTTTTCCTGCAATTGGCACCATTAACCAAATATAAGTAGAATCTATCAATTAAAATAATATTTGGCTAAAATCAAGGAAAAAATAATTATTAATTTAGCAACAAATTATGACCTATCAATTTCCCCCATACCTAAACCATACTTGTCCTTAAGCATGAGAACAACAAATCAAGTAATCAAATTCAAACAATGGTATTACTCAAACTTTCTATTGCCAAGATACAATTAAAACATATGTCAAGTATTAGTGGCAATTTGCAAGAAATATCTCTCCAATTAGCTTTCAAGATCAAGGACTCTTTCAATTTATGACTAACTAATCTAAGAATATAAAATATTCAACCAGCATCCATAAGCAAATGGTTCGACTATTAAGCAAAATCTCAACAATAAAATTCATGGATCAGCGGGTTAGCAATTCATTCACATTTTTCACTATTAGCACTTTTTTCTAAAATATCCCCACCCTTGATTGATTTTTTTTTCGGGGAAATGCTTAGTCTTTAGCCATTTAAGCGTTTTGACTCAAACTCCGATATTGGCCAAATGAAGGAGCCCGGTTACTCAACTTTTATCGCTAAAGGACCACATACTCATAGCTATCGTTGTTTTTTGACGCGAAAATCGACACTTATGGTGAAAACCTCCGGTTACTAGGCAACGTTACTAGCGGAGTATAGCCAAATACTATTCATAAATAAGCACCAAATTAAAATTAAAAATCACACAAACCCGCTTCATTTCTTAAACATGGAGAACTAAGATTATTAGTTAAACCAATTTGCATAAAAAAAATGCTAGACAAATATTTACAATACTTAGAAAAGTTAACCAAAAAGTGCAAAAGTCACAAAATCTCAAATATTCACCAAAAAGATACTCTTAAACTTAACCATGTCATACTTAACACTTTAGACTGTAAAATCTTAGTAATAGAAAAATTTGAGACATCGAACCATCGTTAATCAGAAACAATCACAAAAATGCACAAAGATAGGCAAAAATTGGATAAAATTTAACAAAGTCAAACAAAAAATTCCAACAAAAATGCCTACACTTGCACTTTTTCAATAAAATACCGATATACTACTCACCCCACACCTAAATCTTACATTGTCCCCAATGTAAGCAATAAAGAATAAAATACAAAGGAAAAAGGGACAACGAAACTTCCCTGATCATCAAAGGGGGGTCTCGAGCAGCTATGGCATAAGTGGGATTGGTAGTGTGAAGCCAACATGGTGGATCTTTATTGCTCCCAAACCAAAATAGGAGATGCCCACAGATAGTGAAAATGGAGATGATCATGGGAGGTGGCTAGCGGCGGCAGCATGGTGTGGTAGCAATGGTGACGAGCAGAAACAGCGCGAGTAGCGGAGTTTGAGGTCCTAAGGTTGTGGTCCTGCAACTGGAAAAGGAAAGAAAGGAAGAAAAAGGAATGGGAGAGAAGAAGAAAAGAGAAAGAAAGAAGAAAGAAAGAGAAAAGAGAAAGAAAGAAAGAAAAAGAAATGAAATGAAATGTTTTTTTTGAACCACTGCGTTAGACGTAGGCACGCCTAACTACCCTTGAGTCTTCTAACCAACCTACGAAAATTAAGATTCTTAAACATGACCACTTGGCGTGGGCACGCCTAATTACTAGGGAGTCTTCTGACCAATTTTCGAAAATTGAGTTCCTTAAGCGTGACCACCTGGCGTGGGCACGCTTAACTAATGGAGAGTCTTCTGCCTGCAGACGCGAATTGCCTTCCTTCGACGTGACCACTTGGCGTGGGCACATCTAACTACTAAGTAGTCTTCTGTCCGCCAAATTAAAACCTCTTTCCTTAGACGTGACCACTTGGCGTGGGCACGCCTAACTGCTAGCTCCTGCCACAAAAACTACAACTCAATAAATGCAAATAACACTCAACAAAACTCCATAAACACAAGAAAACTAAAACAAATAGTCTTGGGTTGCCTCTCAAACAGCGTCTTTCTTTAATATCTTTGGCTAGACATCGCCATGTTTATTCACGAAGGATAAAATCTTGTGACTCGTTTCAATGCTTCATCCTCTATATAGTCCTGATATCCCTCGTAAATGAAGTAATTCTTGAATACACGAGGTACGGTCTTCCATGGATTAGTAGATGATGCCAAACAAACAAGTAACGACCTTAATTCTTCACTCACTCCTCCATCACGAGCACTTATTGGTTCGAGATATTTTGCCATCGTGACTCTTAACATATTCCTGTCATGAAACTCAAAGTCGTCTGGTATAATAAAATTAATCTCATTAACAGGAATTAAAGAATAAGAGTCAGGAGAATGTTGATAAAGGAATGGAGGAGATGTCACCGCATTTGGAGATTGTTTACTGGATTCATCCACTTGAACAATTTGATATTGGGGTTCCATTTCTTGCACTTCAATTTCCTTTTCAACTACATCTTTAGATTCTTCTCTTTGAGACTCTTGCAGTTCCATGTCATTTGTCAAGATAATTGTACTCTCATCTTCTTTAAGGTCGTTGATGGTTTGTACGGACAATTCTTCATAAATTGGAGAAATCAATTTACTCATTGTAGATTCCAATTCACGCCTTCCTTTTTCCATCTCTTTAATCAACCTTTGTGTCTCCTGTTGAAATTGATATATGTTAGTAGCTAGTAATTCAACTATTTCTTCAAGAGACATACCTGACATGGATGACGGTTCTTGAGACTCTAGTTGTTGAAAATCTATTGGCCTTTGTTCATAATTAAAATTGGAATCATCCCACCATCCTTTATCATACCCGTTTGAATAAGGGTCATACCACGTTTGATATTGAGGTGAAAAATTTTTAAAAGCATCGATTGAAGCACTTAGACCATCTTGATATGCAGGGCATATGTCGATTGAATGACCTGAGGCAAAATAAGTTCCACAATTTGCAATAGCCCATTGATCATTAGAAAAAGCACGAGTCTTATAACCCCTTCTAGAAATAAAATCCAATCTATCACCAAAATACGGAGTGTTAGTAGCCATAAACTATATATAAAAAAATAAGAAAAAAATAAAATAAAAAAATGAAAACAAGATGAAGTAAAAAAGAAACAAATTAATCAGGCACTAGTCCTCGGCAACGGCACCAAAAATTGACAGGTGCCGAACCTGTGCAATAATAATAAATAAAACCTAACTACCACTTGAAGCAGCTAATAATCAATTCTAGTATTGGAGCATGGACCCTAGGTGTGCAATAGGTTACTTGATTCACCCTATTCCCGAAGAGTTTGCTTAATCTGATATACCAGAATTAATTATTTAACTGAATTCACTAACTAGTAGACAGTGACAAGTAGGGTCGTCTCCTCAGGGATTGGGGAGAAATTTGTTTCCTTTCGAGTCAAGACAAATGGGGGTTTTTAGGATTAAATGCTAACTAAATGAATTAAATGCAGAAAATAATTAATTAAAAGAAATAATTAAGAGAGCTCCAACCAAGGGTACACTTCAGAAATGGTTCATGCACTGATTATCGATTCACAGATAATTCCAACATTTATTAATAGATTAGTTATAGTTGTCATGCACGTGATAAACAACCAGCCTTTTCTTAATTTCTCGATAGTTAAGATACGACCGTTAACTATTTCTCTAACCCGGAAACAACCCTAGGTACGACCGTAGGATTTAATTTCTAAATTGTATTAATAATTAGAAATACCCAATCCTAACTAACAAACACGCTACGAGGGTTTGTTTAAGTTAGATCATATGTTTCCCTGACATAAACCCAATCACGCCAGTTGCTACTGAGATGGAGATAATCGAACAATTACGGATTCAATTACCCCTAATTAGCAAAATAACCTATATGAATAATTAATTAATGCGCACTAATCAATCATACACAAGAGCTATAACAATTAAAAGCAGGAAACATATAAATACCAATAGATGAAAGAAACAATTAAAAACGATTTAGATCTCACAGTAATTGCCGAACCAAATCGTCAGTTGTCCCCTTGACTAGAAAATGAAAATTTAGCTACACATCCTCAAGGGAAATCCGCAGGACTCCCTTGCTAACCATCTGTTCCTTCTCCCCCAAAGGCTAACGAAAGAAGACAAAGAAAAACAACCCCCCCCCCCCCGCCGTCCCTCTCAATTCCTCTTTTGTAGCTTCCTAAGGAAAACTCCTGATTACGCGGGATCCGGCTTTTTGTCCCTCAAATCCGTGCAAAAGAAATCAAAAGACAAGAAATTGCTGCTTCCTTTTTCGTCTCTAGCCACCCAGATGCTCAATTGATTGCCGCCGAATTTGCCTCCACCCAATTACCTAATTGATTGGTTTCCTAATACCAATCCAACTCTTAAAAAGATTCCTATTACAAATCAATTTCCTCCACCTTTCCTTTTCCTTGAGAATGATCCCCCGAAATAAGGAAAGTCCTGGTAGCTAACAAATTAGGAAGTTGACTCGGTTGGGAGACTGTCCAATATCAATCCCGACCTTCTGGCCTTGAATGTAGGTCCCAAACGTACCACCATCAAATTAATTGATAAATTATCAATTTTAATCACGTTTTGCTCCTTTTTCTACAGTTGGCACCATTAACCAAATATAAGTAGAATCTATCAATTAAAATAATATTTGGCTAAAATCAAGGGGAAAATAATTATTAATTTAGCAACAAATTATGACCTATCACTTACATAAAGAAAATTTATATAGATCTATATTTTTTATACATATATTAGTCTACCTTCTTAGCTTCTTGCAATGCTACAATTCTTCCTTTTTCTGACCATTGTCGAAGGGCTGCAACTATTCTTGGTTGGACCATAATGGTTACCTTACGGAGAGCATCAGGTTGATTAATGACCTTCACAACTAAGCCTCTAATCCTTGCATGTGATGATCCTTGAAGGAAAAGGAGGGAATTGTTGCCTATAATTTGAGTGGCAGGCCATCCTATGCCAAAGTTTGCATCCGATTGAAGGATGAATTCGTTGTTAGGAAAACAGTAACAACTACAACAATAAAAAACAGCTTTGACGTGAAAATTCACTTTCCTTAAGGAAATTTGCCTCCACTATTGTACTACCTGGTTTGCAGCAATTCCCTCTAGGAATAACAAAGCCAACCAGAATTTTCACACAGTAGTATGCAGAAATTCTCCCAAAAACAATTTAGCGAATATTATTTTGAACGAAATAGAAGAATAGTAAAATCAGAAGTAAAAAGTGAGGCCTCTGTTATCTGGACACTATTATTTATAATGTTCAGATACCCCAAAAGAAATGTCATATCTTTTGAAAACGTATTTCTTCATGAATAGGTACCTTTTAAAATGAATGGACACTTAACGGTTGTATGCACTGTATCACCAGATACAACCCTTAAAAGAAAACCGTTTAGTTAAGAAGAAATATTAAAATGAAATTAATTAAAATTAATTTCAGTTCTTAAGACCCAAGTGCCCAAGTGCCAATCTTTTGACCATTAAATTTATATTTTAATTTAATAGTCAACATGACAAATGCATGTGCAATTTTGAAGTTTCCCTCCAAAATTTCTTACAATCCAAATTGATTTGAATAGGTGTGCACTTGATTATAAACGTCTTCTATACTTCATATACTTTCAATGTGGGATTTATCACTAACTATTTCCAACATTTGTTAGCTGATGGAAAGCATGCAATTATAGAGGGTGAACCAAAGAGATGGCTTTTGTACGATCCTTCTCCATCACCATATCTGATTTAAAAGATTAATTCCGAAGAACCATGTTAATTCTAATTAATTTTACTCTACCGCTGATGAAGTCAATTTGTATCTTTTTTATTTTTTTGGGAAAGCTTATTGTTTAACAATTTGTAACCAACAAGTCGAAATATTGTGCTAGGTAGAAGAAATGTCAACTCACCTCCCACTTAATCCCCAACTTGCGGATTTGACATGAGCACACGGTGACAACATCAATTTCTCAAAACAGGTTAGGCAACATCAATTTTGTTTAATCAATTCTCTTGGCACCAATAACTCAAATATAATTTGGGGGCATAAAATAATCATGATCTTCATCTATTCAAATGCTATAACTTATTAAATTTGTTATTTTGGAACAGGTTAGAGCATAATAATTAAATCCGGCACAGTCATCAACCTGGTAAGTAGATTGGTTAAAGGGTTTAATCACGAGTTAATTGGTTGAACTAGTGGGTCATAATATAATGAAATAATATAATTGTTAAGAAAATATAATTATTGAACTGGTGATCAAATTCATCAAGTTTTGGAGTTCATTAGTTGAAGCGACGGGTTGATGACTTTTCAATAGGAATCTTTATTATCCTCTCCAACTATCAACCTAACCCAGTTAAATAATCGATTCACTGGATTAGCCAATTGAACTGCTCAAATAGACCGGGTTTAATAACTTTGTTTTAGAGTGGCATGACATCACCTTTACGTCTTTTCCTGCCTATTTGTAGGGAAAATTACAGGAGTAGCTCCCATCAAATTTACAAGTTATCCTTTTCTAGTCCTTCACATTTATTGTTGATTTGATTGGAAATTTATGATTGTAGAGAGTTTTCAAGCATGCTAAATGGCATGGTGAGTGAAAATACTTACCTCAAAACGCCATTAGCTAATAAAGTTGAGGACACTACGGATTTTAAGTGATTTGATTAGACTGCAATGTTGCAATTTCTGGTAAACTTTTAGCTCCAATTCCCAATCTCCATTACTTTTTTTGAGTGAAAATCTTTACCACAAAACATCATCAGCTAATAAAGTTGAGGGCATTACGGATTTATATGTGATTTGATTAGACTGCATATAAACTCTTCTTTTATACTGTATTAAGGGAAGGAACGTGTCATGACCTGAAAACTTAAGAAAATGGTATTGTTTATGAAATGTTTTAACAGGAAAATGTTTTCTTGCATAAAATAATCCACCCATCAATACATGTCTACAATATTCACCTTTTTGGGTTCGAAAATATTGAGGATAATTTTAAACCATGTTCTTCAATTAAATTGAATGTCATAGGTCCATTATAAGATAGAAATTGAAAAAGAAAAGGTGCAAAAGCAATTTTAGTTCTTCACTATTATTGTAGCATTCTTTTCATATTCCAAATTTCATTTACACTACAAGAATTTGATAGCGAGATTGATCCTTTTTAAGTTCAATTCATCAAAAGGCACATAACTAACGTGTGGAGCACTTGAGGAAGTAGACATGCAATTGTCTACAAGATGTTGCAGAAATTGCTACAGCCAAATGCCATGAACTTGGGCCAATGGCCTCCATGTATATAGCAATAAGTTGGATAGTTGTGCAAACAAACTTACTAGTAATAAAATTGAACAAGAAAGGAATAAAACTCAAGCATGGAGAAAAACCTTACTTGTATCTTTTATTGTTAATGAAGTCGTCATGTCGATGAATAACCTTAAAATACAAAAGAAAATGAAGCATTTCTCCAAAAAATGGAATCCCCATGTGGCCAGGAGGAAGCTTGGTCGTGATGCTGCCTCCAGAATGCCAGAAAGTAACTGGCAGAGCAAATTGGAAATAGTTCCACCATCACAACCCCCAGCCCAGTAGTGTTATGATTCCCACCACAATTGCCATCCACATCCCTAAGGTTATTCCATCTTTGTGAGTTAAGGCTCTAATACTTCATATGATGTACTCCTAGGTGGCATATGACCGGGTTTAAATACACTTACTTGCGATGCAATCATTTGTATCTTATACCCAAGATATTATTCTTTCAAGTATTATTACAAGAGGACAAATGTAAATTGTACTTATTTAGTTGGGAACACATGTAAACTGTACTTATTTCGGGCTGTGGCAGTTCGTGTGGCTACGCAGCAACCATGTATGGCGTTGTCATTTTCACCAAAAAGGAGTGGTGAGACTCAAAGCTGATGAGCTCTCCAAGAGTGCCACTACCATGGTTAGAAATTGATAGCTACTCCTCTTGTTGTCCACATTGACAAAGTAGTTGTCAATGTGGACCATTCTTGGTATAAGCATGGCTAGGTGGTCTCTGAGTAATTCACTTCTGCTTAAGTTTCATCTAAACTAATTCACTTTTGCTTAAGTTTCATCCACTTTTTATCTTCTGCAGTATGGTACAAAATAGGGCTTCTAACCAATGCTTGAAATCTAGTATTTTAGATTTCTCACTCTTTGGAAAGCTTGTTACTGCCTACAAACATGAAATCATTCAGACTATTTGTTTTAATTAGCAAAAACTGCCAAATGATAGAAAGAAATTGACTTATTTGCTTAGTTCAGATTCATACCCTTGGTATAGATATTGTGCATCCTTCTGAAACTTGTTTGTGAGTTTCCTACTTCCGAAGTAATGAACCCATCCATTAACTTCTTCCCTGCAAAAAAGTTTGAAGGCAGATTGAAAGTTAGTGTCACATTTACCTCCAATTTTTCAATTTGCAATACCATATATATGTTTTTTTATTAACACTATGTACTTGTGAAGGATTTGCATAGCTTTCTCTCAACTTATGATTTTTCAAATAATAGGAAGCCGGCAAGTCATAATAATCTGAATAAATGAACAATATAGAGTTAGCTACTTTTTAGATGTTAATTTTAGTAACCTCATAAAAGGCTTGCCAGCAAGTTGTCTACATACATATTTGAAAATTGAAACAAACAACATCATACGTAAATTGGTTTTTTCTCAAACATTTTGAGTATTCTTTTCTGAAACTGTTAGTAGGATGAAAAAAAAACTAAAAAAACCAATTATCGTTAAAAAAAAAGAATTTGAAAAAATGCTGACAGAGAAAGTCCCAACACAAAATCTAGGTTACTGACAAAAAAGTCTCAACATGAACAATAGTCTACTGATAAAAAAGTCTCCAAGCTATCGGCTGTTGAAAAAACAAAATCTTTATTAACAACAAAAACAACCCCAACCCCAAGAAAAACCTATAGTATATTGTTGACATATTCCTCTTTTCTCACACATATTTTGCCTCCCTATATACATTGATTTTATGAAATTTGTCTTCTATAGTTTTTGGATAAAATATTTTGGGTTCTACACTTGGTGCTTGGATCATTTAGTTTTGAAAGATATGAAACGTTCTAGAATGTGGATGTGTAGCTTGTTCTTATCGTATAATGAATATTATATTGTTGATTTATTCCTCTTCTTGTACACATATTTTGCCACCCGATATACATTGATTTTATGAAATATATTTTTTCTATAGTTTTTTTATCAAATTTTTTGGGTTATACACTTTGTGCTTGGATCAGCTATGAAACTTTCTAGGATATGGATGTGTTCTCTGAATTTATTCTAGTTCTTTAGATTTTGCTATGTGACATCTATAATAGAAATTTACATAAAAAAATGACATGTTTATGGAAATATTATTCTTCCTCTACAACAATACCATGTAGTCCTCTAGTCTTATGGTTGTTTGCCTTCTAATTTCATGTTTTTCATGCTTCTTCCTCTTTTTTTAGATACTAGTTTTCCCAATTGTGATATATTTTTATGCATTCTCCATAAATGGAGCTATTATTAAATTCAAATTCATTGAAGCTCAGTTGATATTCTTTTTTTTTTTTTTACTAAAATGGCTCTGTTGATATTCTAGAATGAAAGTTTCCATGCTTGAGCATGGAAAGTTCATGTATTCTAGTGATTATAGGATATGTGTTACATGATCAGGAGAAACATCATAAATCCAGGTGTATCTGGAATATTAAGAAGTATGTTTCTCTTAGAGTTCATGTTCAAATAAGGAAGGGAAAAGAAAATCTAAAATCTACTACTAATGATATCGACGAAGTGTCGAATCTGGTCAATGCTACTATTTTAGTTTAAGAGAGAGCATCATTCCACTCTATGCCTTAAACTTTGCATGAAATCTTATTTTGCACTATATACTTTAATTCAGGTCACATTTCACCTTTATTTTTATAATCAGTCCACTTTAGGTCCAATAATTAATAGTTTGCAAATACTAAATTGAAAAGAAGCATATTAGCAATAATATTGTATTTACCAAGGGTAAGGAAAAAAAATTAATATTTTCAAGTGATCGCAGAATTAAGAACTATGCTGCTGACATGCTTCATCTCCCTCATCTTTCAATAGTATTAGCGCCATTGGACTAAAGTCCATAGTGGGACAGATACATGTTAAAGTTAAGATTGCTTCATCAGAAAAGGTTAAAAGATGCAATGTGTAGCATATTATATTTGGGGGTACAAAGTGAGAAATGGTATAAAGTCTGTGCATGCAAAATAATATTAGTCCCTAAAAAAATATTTCATTCATCTTACCTAACCTCTTTAGGTTTTTATTACCAAGGTTCACTTCTAAACATTTCAACATCCATAATAAAAAACCTTCTTAATTTCCCCAAAAAAAAATCTTCTTATACTCCGTTTTCACTAAGGTCATATACCTTTGTCAATCAATGATCTTTAAGTTTGAACACCCAACATTTTAGGCAAATTTAAATTTTGACAACTTTATATACAAAAAAGTAGGGACTTTGATACTATATGTAATTTTGTATAAAGTAAAATGTCATCTTAAATACTTTTTTTTAAAAAAAATTTTAAGTAGCACAAGAAGAATGAAGCAAATTAAAATTGGTCCATACTAGCAATACATACATCATTATTTTTTTTTGGTTTAATGCATCATGCTTGCTAACCTGGAGGGAGTGATAATAAGCAGTTCTGGGTATTTTAATTGGTTGACTTCTAACTCCTTGAGTTGCCACTCGCAACATCTTAACAAATTCAGGGATAACTCACAAGGAACTTGCAAGGACCATCATAGGAGTAATTGGAAATGTCATATCCTTTGGCATGTTTGTCTCCCCTACGCCCACATTCGTAAACATAGGGAGAGCCAAGTCTGTTCAACATTTCAAGCCAGACCCCTACCTTGCCACAACACTGAATTGTGCAATGTGGGTGTTCTATGGCCTTCCAATCGTCAAGAAGGATAGCATTTTGGTTTCAACGATCAACGGTGTTGGACTTGTAATTGAGGCCATCTTTGTCACCTTGTTCTTCATCTATTCCAATTGGCAAAAACATTGAAAAATCTTTCATTTTCTTGCGGGTGAAGCAATGATTTTGGCCATAGTCATCATCAGTGCCTTAACGGCTTTGCATGGTAGCAATAGGTCATTATTTGTCAGTGTCTTGTACACAATCCTCAATGCTGGGATGTACTTTTCGCCAGTGATTGTTATGAGTAGCGTAATTAAGACAGAGTGTGAGATACATGTCATTCTCATTGTTGCTTGCTAATTTTGTGAATGGTGTTGTTTGGTTTTCATATGCTTTCCTCAGATTCAATCCCTGGCTCGTGATTCCCAATGGCCTTGGAACCCTTGGTGGACTAATTCAGCTCATACAATATGCTACATATTACGGCTCAACAAACTGAGGTGAAAATCAGGATGAAGATGGCAAGGCTAAGGAGGTCCAACTATCCTTTGAAGCCGAAGTGACATAAAGACTAAGGATAGAAGGGGAAAGGGAAAATTATGATCCTCATCAATGAGACATTTTCTAAGCTTTGCTTTTACATTTTCCTTTATTTCTTATGTGTTAACTATGTCTTATTTGTCAAACTTTAGTTACTTTTTGATAAATCCCTTTCTGCCAAAAAAAAAAAAAACTCCTTTGATCATGCCCGCAAATAGCTGATCAAGTGTATCCAAATGAGGTCCTGGTTCGAACCCGAAAAAGTACTTCCCAATATTTTCAAAAGTAACCTTCAAGGACAATGAAAAAATAATGAAAAATAAGGAAAATGATGGCCCAGAGAGATTTCAGGAAAGTTGAAATTAGTATGACAACTTACATCAAGAAAATATTATTTAGATCTGCATTTTTTATACACATATTAGTCTACCTTCTTAGCTTCTTGCAATGCTACAATTCTCCCCTTTTTTGACCACAGCTGAAGGGCTGTAACTATTCTTGGCTCGACCATAATGGCTATCTTACAGAGAGCATCAGGTTGATTAATGGCCTTCACAACTAAGCTTCTAATCCTTGCATGTGATGATCAAAGGAAAAGGAGGGAATTGCTACCTATAATTTGAGTGGCAGGCCATCTCATGCCAAAGTTTGCATCCGATTGAAGGATGAATTTGTTAGCTGATGGATAGCATGCAATTATAGAGCGTGAATCAAAGAGATGGCTTTTGTACAATCCTTCTCCATCACCATATCTAATTTAAATGATTAATTCGGAAGCACCATGTTAATTCTAATTAATTTTATTCTACAGCTGATGAAGTCAATTTGTAGCTTTTTTTTTTTTGGGAAAGCTTATTGTTTAACAATTTGTAACCAACAAGTCGAAATACTGTGGTAGGTTGAAGAAATGTCAATTCATCTCCCACTTAATCAACAAGTTACGGATTTGACAACTTCAATTATGACAAAAATGAATATAGTTCATCTAATCAATACTCTTGGCAACATCAATTTCTCAAACCAGGTTAAACAACATCAATTTTGACAAAATGAATATAGTTTGTTTAATCAATTCTCATGGCACCAATAACTCAAATATATTTTTGGAGCATAAAGTAATTATGAACTTCATCTATTCATACGCTACAACTTATTAAATTCGTTATTTTGAAACAGGTTAGAGCATAATAATTAAATCCAGCCCAGTCATCAACCCGGTAAATTGGTTGAACTAATGGGTCATAATATAATGAAATATAATTGTTGAGAAAATATAATTATTGAACTGGTGATTAAATCCATTAAGTTTCGGTGTTCACCAGTTGAAGCGACGGGTTCATGACTTTCAATAGGAATCTTTATTATCCTCTCCAACTATCAATCCAACCCAGTTAAATGGCTGGTTCACTGGATTATTTTGTTGAACTGCTTAGACAGACAGGGCTTAATAACTTTGTTTTAGAGTGGCATGACATCAACTTTACCTGCCTATTTGTAAGGAAAATTACAGGAGTAGCTCCCACCAAATTTATAAGTTATCCTTTCCTAGTCCTTCACATTTATTGTTGATTTGATCGGTAATTTATGATTGTAGAGAGGTTTCAAGCATGCTAAATGACATGTTGAGTAAAAATCTGTGACGCCCCTACTTCTCCCAAGGGCGAACCCGAGGGTATCGGCGGGACGCCTGCCTAACTCGCGCCAGGACTCAAAACACCAAGCTAATAAAACTATATAAACCAAAAGAGTACTATTCACAATATATTCAATCCCAAAAGGGTATTTACATCCTCAAAAGGAGTTATCGAGACTACTACAGAACCAAGAGCAAAAGTAGACCCGAAGACGAGTTCTTTATATAGATCACCAAAGTAAAAGAAATATCTTAGTTGTCCAACCATTACAAACCAAACCTAACTACACTAGTGATAGTTCAAAAGGGTTCCCCCGCGTCGTCCCCTGTTAAGGAAAACAAAGGAAAAGGGGTAAGCTAAATGCTTAGTAAGTAAACGGGGGTAAATTTCACATTAAGATAAACAACTATTTCACAAAAATGTTAAGTCAAGTGCAAAAGTAACAATACAAATGAAGGATACAGGTTGGCTCCAAAGCCACATCATTTGCCATGTGTGAACTCCTGCCGACCCTTCGTCGACCACACTTAAGGTCCGTAGAACTCCACTTGTACACCCACCTAACACCTTATCACCCTCACAGGCCAGTCACCTCACAAAATTGCTCGAGCGAACGAAATTGAGCTTGGTTCACAAGCTCGGTTCACAAACTTGGTTCACGTTCTCGGTGAACCGGATTCACAAACTTGGTGACCTCAGACTAGGTTGGACTGGTTTCGACCAAGACCCGGCCGGCTCGAATAGTCCATCTAGGTCGGAAGATCAACCCCAACTTACAAACGTCACCCCGAGCTACAAGCTCAAGGGGTTCAAACCCAAAATAATTCATGTAGACATGTCATGTATAAATATGCATGTAAATTAGGGTTTAGGTCGAGTGCGATGAAGTACACTCTCGCCTAGGTACCCCTTTCATTCACCTCGAAATACATAAGCAAGTTATATACAAAAACAGCCCGAATACTTACACAAAGATCAAGTATAGCAAAATGTGAAGATCACGTCACGTATCCCAACTAGTAGGCCCCACCGACACTGTCTAGCTCACCACCGTCTGAAATAGAAGATTGCATCACATTATATCACAAACGGCTACTAACATGCCTAAAACAAGAAAAATGGCAAAATTGGCACATGCATGTGCGGAATCGACAAACGGAAATGGAAACGGCCGGCAAACAGAAACGGAAATGGCAGCATAACCGTTTTGGTGTCAAAACCTGTTTTGAACACAATCGAAGCTACGAGTGTCGGATCAAAGTGCATGAGGTACCGTTACGAAGCTAAGAGGAAGGGCTACAAGTTTCATGAAGACACCTTAATCTAGATCTGAATGGAAGCAGGTCAAAATTATGGAAAACAGTACCAGAAGTTTGCACTTTAGGGTGACAGACAGGGTCTGGTTGCCGGACCATAACTCACAGTTCACAATTCCAAATCAAGAAATTCCAAAGGCGTTAGAAAGATATGTCATAATTCTAAAACTTTTATGTTTTGGTCAAAACCTGAATCAATACAGAGCAGGGTGAAAAACGGGTCCAAAATTCCTGTCAGAACTGTCCAAATTCAAAGGCAGTTCTGACAACCGATCTTGTTCTGATTATAACTGGAGCTACGGAACTCGGATTTGGACGTACTTTATACTGTTTCGAAGCTAAAACCAAGATATAAATTTCTTATGAAGGGGTCAATACCCAGTTCACACGTTATCTAGGCGAACCGAGCATGGTCAGAGGCTAAATCCAAAAGCGTAACACAATCCAGTGTTCAAAACAGGTGCAAGTGTTTTGGCTATAACTCGGGCTACACTGCTCTGTTTGACCTGAAATGTTGCAGGCACATTAAGGACTTAAGAAGCTACAACTTTCATGTTTTGATAAACCTCTGAATCCACACGTAGCATAAATAAAAACAGAACCCAAGTTCGGATTTGTGGACTGCCCTGTTTCAAGTTTTGCGGTTTCGAACGTCGCAAACGCATGGTCCGATTCCAAGGTTTCCATGCAAGTCTTCCAACCACTTTTATACCAAATAAACACACATATACTAACTTCTAAATGACCTACAAATGGTCTGAAACTTTCCCTCTAAGTCACTACAAAATTGCCAAAAACTAACCATAATCTAGGTGCTAATCCTACTAACTTTACTAGTTTCACCACCTAATCAATCAAACTCTAATCACTTAAGCCCTAACCCAACCAAACTAACTTTCCTTTGAATTAGGGTTTCATGACTAATCTGGAATTTGCTACTTTCCAACCATACAAGTGAAATTACTACATCAAAGATGCCATTAACAAGCCAAAATCCAACCAAACCAACTCCATGAATCATGAATCAAGAAACCCTACCTTTTCCTCCTAGCCTTTACCAAAATCAGCAATATAACCATCAAAATAAACCATAAAACTACTCCATAATCATCTTACAACCCATAAAAATGCATAATCACAACAAAAGTATCACTTCCATAGCTTCAAGATTAAAACCCCGAAATTTAACTTCCAAGTAAGATGATATACCTTCAAATAAGCTTTGTAGATGATCAAACCACAACAACCAAGTGTTCAAGTTGTCTTCTTAACCTCCACAAGCAAGATGAATGGCTAAAAATTGAAGAACTTTGAAGAAAATCTCTCCCCTCTCTTGCTCTCCCTCTCTCTCGGCCTTCCCTCTTTCTTTTTTTCTTTTGCTTTGTTTTGTTTATTTCTTAGCTTTATCTTGTATTTTCCTACCATCAAATAGTAGTCAAAGCCTTGGGAAGATATTTACCATTCAACTAATCAAATAAAAGCTTGTTTATTGCTTCTTAGCCCTTACACCTTTACTTTCTCTTTCTTACTCCTTTTCCCTCAAACATTTGATAATCTTTCAATTAACTCCATAAATGATAACTTAATCTAGTCTAAAGCACTTGATCACACTTGATCACTTCACTAATCACACTCCTATCTTAACCACCTATACTTAATCATACTTTATCCATAATAGAACCCACTAAACAACAACCTTTATAACATTGGCAAAATTAGGGTTTTAAACCCAACTTAAGCTTTATAATCTATGGGAACACTAGAGGGTTTACTAGTTGGAGGTTTTTCTAACTTTTAAACTTCCTTACCCCATATAAAAGAAATCGAATCCTATATTTACTTACTCCAAAACACACACTAGAATAGCTAACTTAACTACAACTCGATCTTGTGCTTAATACAAAAGCTAGGGTTTCAATCCTAACCCCAACTAGGGTTTTCTCATTAGCCCTAAAACCCAATTTTTCCGTACAAATATTTCACCTCACCTACTATCAAACTTAAGGACT